CCTACCAACACAGGTACGGGTAACTCTACCGACCAAGGCTTACAGCTTGTTTGGATGGTTGTTACATATTGTTTCATAATGTATCGTATCGTATTGTATTGTACTGTATCGTTTGATAAATACAATATTTGGATAGATTGTATCGTTTGCTGTCGTTTTATGATATCACGCACCATCAATATGAAGAATAGACTTGCAAAATTATAAAGAAAAATTATGATACAGGTTAAAATTATTGTATAAAAAGGTAGTGTAAATGATAAAATAAAATTATTTAATAATAATGAAGGGTGAGATGAGAGAAAAAGACAAGATAACGACGCGACCACACCAAATCGGTCGTTACATAAAGTGGCACATTTCGTAACGACGGATTTAACGATACGACACAATAAAATTTAAGTAACAATCAAAACAAATATTGTATTTAAAGTAACAATACAATACAATACAATAGGTAACAACCATCCAAACAAGCTGTTAAGAAAAATAGAAATATATAATAAAAAGAAAGCTCTTTTATAACATCAATACATCAGCTACTGCAAATTTGCTATAAACCCATATAACAAAAACAAAAACAAAAAAACGAAAATATGACACAACAACATTAATCAGCAAAAATGACAAAAAATTGTCGAGCTTCAAACTAACAAAATATACCGAAAAAACAGTTCTAGTTGCCACAGAGTTCTGTATAGAGAGCAAGAGAAGGTTGGGGATTTTGGGTGGGGGGAGATATAGAGGAGAACTTACAAAATTGATTTTGCCGGGCCGGCAAAAGAGATCGTGAGTTCGGCGTCTGCTTTAGAGTGACAGAGTGAGGGTGAAGAAAAAAGCTCCTGCAATATTTTAAAAAAGAAAATCAAGGAAATCTTATATAGCAATAAAAAGATGGGTAAGGGTTTTAAAGTCTTATAATATAGGACCCTAATCCAAATAGGTCATGAACAACTTTTCTTTTTTTCAAAAAAATAATTTGAAAATCATATGTCTATGTATTTATTATATATTCTCTCCCTTCACTTTTATTTGTACATTATACTAAAAATATATTTTTACTTTTACTTGTCCAGTATACACTATACTAAATCAAGAGAAATACAATCTTTTTTCTCTTGTTTTACCCTTATCATTAACTACTCATTCCCCAAATTATTTATCAAGACTTTTAGAAATGCTATCATTATTATGGGTAAATTGTAAAATACATACTTTATTTATTTTTTCTTAACAACTTGTTTTGATGGTTGTTACTTATTATATTATATCGTATTGTTACTTTAAATATAATATTTTTTATTATTATTACTTAAATTTTATTGTATTGTATTGTTAAATCCGTCGTTACGTAGTGACGAAAAGTGCTAGTTTATGTAATGACTGATTTGATGTTGTGGCATTGCTACCTTATTTTTTCTCTCTTCTTGCATTCTATATTATTAAATAATTCTATTTTATTCTTTATCATATCTTTTTATATAATAATTATACCTCGTATCTCATTTTTTTCATTGTAATATTATAAGTTTATTTTTCATATTGTTGGTCCATGACATCATAAAACGACGAGAAACAATACAATCTATCTAAACATTATATACATTAAACGATACAATACAATACAATATAATACATTATGAAATAATTTGGAAAAAAGGTCCAAAATTACCCCTCTATTATATTATATTATTTATTCTGCCACCCGTTATACTATTCGTCTAATCTAGCACTTTTAAAAATTACCCCTAACCCTAACATATCTACACCGTGATGACTGACTCTCTCAATTTTTTCCATGTCAGTTGTCAAGTCACACTGCCAAACAACCCAAATCTGCCACCAGCACCTCCCAGGCTCCAACCACCCTTATCACCACTAGTACTTCACCATTACAAACTATTAAACTATGACTTCAAGTTATTCGTAGTTTCCCTATTAACTAATACAAATCTTGCAAAATCAAAGACTCCTTTATCACACAATTGCAACCTCAGGCGTAACACCAATTTCAGTATCTAATTTTCCTTTTCTTTAATTTTCTTATTCTTCTCTGTCAGCTTTCTCTCCAAAATTTATCATTCATTTACTTTTTTTCTACATCATAAAGTTTAATTACTGACATTAATTCATGTCGAAAATGTAACAAAAAGTTATCCAAAAGAATAGAAAAACAACAGATACATACCAAATTCACATTACCAAAGAACACTACAACAATGAATGAAAAAATAGTGAAAACCCCAAAAATAAACTAAAAATACAGCTGCCACCGAAGATTATCAGTTGCGTTGTTGAGTTTTGAGCTTCAAGTGTGCTCAGAATCAGATTGTTGCCGTCTTGGTTTGGATTAATTTTGAAAAAAAATCGAATATCCATTTTGGGTTTCCAAGTTCACGGATCTGAACATTTAATGGATGTTCAGTGATTTATTGTTTAAATCTTCTGGAAATCATATATTTGTATTAGATTCGGAGCTTAACACATATATTATCAAGATTTAAGAGAAACTTAAAGCCTCTATTTCTCGATAGTGAGAAAGGTTGAAGAACTCGTCAAGTTCTTCGAAATCTGAAAAGGTCGTTGTGAAAAAAAAATGAGAATCAGTATTTATTGTTGTTTTGGGAAATATGAAGTTGCTTGAATCCAATTTGGGGTTGTTTGGTTGTAATGGTGGTTGGAGCCTGGGATATGCTGGTGGATTTGAGTGGGTGTGGAAGAAGAAATGGCAGGGGAAGAAGATGATGAGGTGGCAAATTTGGGGTTGTTTGGTAGTGTGACTTGGCAGCTGACATGGAAAAAATTGAGAGGGTCAGCTGCCATGGTGTAGATCTGTCCGGACTAGGGATAATTTTAAAAAGTTGATTAACGGTAGGGGCTAGATTGGACGAATAGTATAAAGGGTGGCAGAAGTAAACAATATAGTATAGTAAAGAGATAATTTTGGACATTTTTCCAATAATATATAACAACCATCAAAATAAGATGTAAAAGAAGTACAAAGTCAAAAGTGGACAACTAAAAGTGAACGGAGGGAATTTTATTCTGAATTAAGACATATAAGAAATTTCAGAATTATAGAACTAATCATTATTGATAACGATTATCTCATATAGATGGTACTGATTAATGTCATAAACTAACGAAGTAAGGTTAACCAAAGTTGCATGGTTCAAAATTGAAATATAGACAAATATAGTTTATATTTAGAAGAGAAAAAAAGACAATTGAATCATTACAAAAAAAAAAAAATCTAAACTCTATTCATTACCAAATCAAAAGGATAATTTTCAAAAATATTATAGATACGATCTTTTAATCATACAAATTATTTTATTATTATGAAAATAAAGATGACTCATTTATTTCTAAATTATTAAGAGAGAAATTCGATTTAGCAAATGAAAGTCTCTCTCCGTTTTATTGTTGTGGATCTTAGGGTGTATTCATCTATTTTGTTCTTTCTGCAACCTCATCAAAAAAATGAGATATAAAAAGAATTGATGATGGTTTTGAGGAACACACAAAAAGTAATTTTATCTTTTAGTTTAATGTATGTATAACTTAATCCATGTATTGTTATACCAAGTTATATTAGGTATAAAATAATACGCTAATTAACTCATACCATGTTTAGCTATGCAAGTTTCAACATACAAATCAAACATTGTATAAACCAATACCCAAAATTATACCATGATTATATTCTCTTATTCTCAAATCAAATGAGCACGAAGTGTATTATAAATAACGGGCCAAAGTGGGCTCGTGTCAGCCCACTAAATTCGAACTTGATTGAATCCTTTGTTGTGCTGACCCATGTAGTAACTAGAAAAGATTAATAAGCGACTATGATGAGTATAATTGTAAGTTGTAACTCATTCGAAACACCTAGAAGAAGCTAGGTACAAAAAATTACTGAATATTGGAGGTGACTTGGAGTATTTGAAGTCAAAATTCAGAGCTAAAATATCATTTTATATCACACACAAAGTTTCGTGATATATATAGATATACATAATATACAAGAGATACACGAATATAAAAAAAATATACATGCTAATATACATAGATATATATTGTTTCAACAACTTATATTTCTTGTTTTCACATCCTCCGTTGTATCACCACCACTATGAAAATATCATGAATGTATAGGGTAAAATATACTCATATTAAATGATCGCATAGTATAACGACACGTGGAGCTGAAAGCAAAAGGTAACCAGGCCCGAAGGCAACAATCTCGTATATCTCCGAAGGGAACAATGTTCGTAAAGGCGAGATAAATGACTGTCACCCTGTGACATTTTAATGGAGAATATTCTATAGCATTAAGTATGTAGTCTGTTACAGAGAATATAAAATTTACTGTTTACCGTTACACATTCTTCAATGGCCCCCATAATTATCATTTAATAGGAGCTTGATCCTACGACCTTGTTCCCTATGTACCATTATAAATAGAGAGCTCAACAACTATTGTAAAGGGACGAACAAGCTCATGCTATATTTTGTTCAAAAGCTCAATAATATTTCATCTTCTTGCTTATTAATATTATTATTACTGCCTACGAAAGTTCTGCTCTCGAAATTAAGATTTCTACTGTCTTATCTCGATTTCAACGCTAAGTATTACATTCTTGTTTAATTTATTTATTAGTTTGATAGCACAAGGAGGAACAGAATAAGGAGAATAAGGAGGAGGAGAATAAAAAGAAGCGGGAGAAAGAGGAGGAGAAGAAGGAGAAAGGGAAGAAGAATGAGGAGGGCAAGAAAAAGGAGGACATGAATGCAAATATGCGACTCCTTCCTCTCTGTTATGTCAGTTGCTACTGTGTTAAGAAACAGTAAATTTTAATATTACTAATATATAGAAACGGGACTTTGGTGGGACGAACAGACGAACACGGGTATACCTGAAATTATGCTTTAAAATTAGGGTTAAATTAGCAATAACAATCATTTCTATAGAAACACATGAATTCACTGAGGTAACACACGTGTCCATCCGTATTCATCCATGTATCCTTTGGTCTTCATTCTTTCAGTGAAGCTCTTTGTTGAGCCTTTCTGCAATCTTTCTTTGTTTCCTGCATGTTTTTGTAACTAATTAGAATATGGGTCTTCACTCTTTCAATGTTTGTCCATCTTTATGACATTTCTGTTTTGGTAATCTTTCTTTATTTTATTGTAGTTCCTTTGTTGGTAACTTGGACGATTTGGTGGATATTTGATAGTTTCTACTCTTATGAATGAAATTTATAGCAAGCAATTGTTCATGCATGTCACTAATTGTACCTGATTTGTTGCCTTATATTTTCATTAAGGAATCTGGTAATATGATCTAGGGTTTGAACTTGGGGTTTTGAGCATTCAATCAAATTTTCACTTCAGAGTTGGACCAAAAAATTGAAACGCCATATTGAGATTGAACGCATTGATAAAGGTGTAATTCATGACAGAACTGATTTGGTTACTTTCCGTGTGAAGAATCAATGTGTTGTATTTCGACCTTCTAAAGGTGAGATTTTGGGAGCAGTAGTCACCATGGTAAAAAAGGTAACAACATTTCATTTGTTTCTCCCATTCCTCTTATTCGCCTTTCTTGATTGTCTCTATCTATTTCTTTTAATTTTGTTCTCTTCCTTCTTTCTTATTAGTTTAATTCTGCTAATCCAAAGACCAAGACGCCAACTCCTTTGACTCCAAGTCATTGCAATTCCAAAGATGTAGATGAAAAAGCTTTTGGTGATGTTACTCCTGATAATTTGAGTTTGCCCGATGGTGACTTCTCTCCGGAGATTTCCAGAGACAAAAGTGCAAGGTGAGCCTTTTAACATCACTGATTGTTGTAGATGTTATTTGTTTTGTAGATATTCCCTGGAATTGCTTGCATGTCAATTGTAGCTATATGACAATTTCTCTTTCAATTTGCAGCCTTCTGTCTTTAAATGTTGAATTTTGTTATTTTTCTGCATTCTGTTCAATTGCTTTTCTGAAATTTATGGGGAAGTAAAATTGGAAAAGTAGCACGGCCATTTTATCTGCTGCCAAAGTGGAAAAGATTGATGCTCCTCTAAAAAAAGAGATTGATGCTCCTCTGGCTGATGATCAGGTGCGACTGAAATCTATCATTCAGAAGAGATATATTTTCTCTATTTGCTACATTAACTTTTTTTGAATTTGATTGTGCAGCTAATATTAAAATCGTGGAGCCTAAATTTGTGTTTGAAGATCGAACTGTAAAAAACAATCAATTCTTGGGGTAGTTAAGCATATTGAAGTAGAAGTGCAGAATTATACAACTTGCACTTTTGTTAATTGTTTGCTAAGAAAGATAGTGGTGATCAAATGCAACCACGATCTTTATTTTCATGATCAATACAATTTTTACCAAGTATATTAAAAGGTCTCACCTTACTTGAGTCTTTGAATATGGTGAACCAACTACTACTATAACATCTGGTCTTTAGATCTTTAGTGTGTTTAATTTGGTGATTGGATTATAATTGAAGGTAGATGTTGGCTTCATGGAGCTCAGACCTTCTGAAATTGCAGCAACACTGGCAATGTCTATTTAGTCTTCCTGGGAAAAGCGAGCAGAAAATATATTGGAAGGTCAATGCAATAACCTTACTTCTTGATACAAGTACAAACAATAATTTTCTTTTGTCTTGATTCTTGAGGTATTGGTATATTCTCTGATTTATTTTGGAGTCTCTGTCCTACAATAATATGGTAGCATGAAGCTGGTTTTGAACTTAAGAAGGTTTTCTCTGAGACTATCTTCCTTCAACTATGTGTTATAGCTTTTTATTGGCTCTTTTCTGATGGACTGTCTACATTGAGCATGTGCATGTGTGACCCTTTCCTGTGATTTGATTTTATGAAATATTGACAAATCTGTTTCTCCCAAGGACTGGCTTTTCCAAGGAAAGAAGATAAAACTGAAATGGACTTACTGAGGATATAAACAGAGTGAGACCGTATTTCGAAAGTAAATGAGGAAAAAAATGCATAAAGGAAGAAAAAAGAAAAAACTTTTCCAGATTACCAGCATGCATAACTGCTTGATGATCTTTCAAGCTTTCAATTTTTGGAAAAGCTTCTCTAGATTCGCAGAAGTCACATATAGTTGACCTGGGGAGAGGGTATCTGTGGTTCGATTTTAGTTTACTGTTCAATAATTTGTTAAAACTTTCACAGTATAACCACAAATTCACAGGGATATTAAAGAAAAGGAGGATGAAAAATGAAAATTGAAGACAATATTTATATAGTAAAGTTATCATACTGCTTACCTGCTCGAACCAACTATCATGTGACACTATAACATCTTCCAGAATTGCATGCCTCGGGGAGTAGCAGCGTGAGTGGAACCAGCAATCTTTTGATATAGCGGAGGTCACAAGAGACCTCTAGGATGTTGAATCGTGAGAAATTTTCTTTCTTAGAAGGCTAAACTGCTGCTTTTTGTGAAATTATCGGCTCTGTGAACTACTCTTGTGTTTTCTTGGACAACATCCCTAAACCTTACTTGGAATAAACTGCTGCAACATTGGAGGTTGTAGGGTTCTTGGATGGGTCACAAACTATTGAGCTTTTGATCTGCTTATAAGTTAAAAAGTTCTTGAATTGGTCCCATTAAGAAGTTTACTTATGCTGCTACTAGAGTACCATAAAGAGTAGAGCTAGAAAATGGAGAATAGGTAAAATTGGTGTAGAAGAAGAACCTTCCTCCTTCATGGAAGAGACGAAGGTTTTTGATTTACTTTGATAACTCAGAGGACATTGTTTCTTTCGTTGTTAATGGGAAGGCAGTTAAAGGAGAGACTTGGCCAAATCTATAAATTTTCCAGCTTTCTTTGCCATGGCTTCAGTGGTATTAGATAAATGTTATTTTGGCATGTATGATGATGAAAAAGAGGAATAAACAAGAAGCTTTATCTAATGTCTTACCCAAAATATTGGTCTATGTATTGCGTCTCTGACCATATGCACTTCTGATTCTTAATGTCAGGTGAAAAATTTTGTGGTGATATTTGTTCTTTCACAATGATGTTTGGCTTTAGACCATATAACAGTTTGGTTTGTTTTACTATATATAATGTAAGAAAATGTTTGGATAATTTTTGTTTAAAATGCATTGCAGGTTACACTGACACGGGTGAAAAAAGTTAAAGTTATCATAAAAAGTTCTCATCACATGTATTTGAGATTTCAAACGGATTATTGTTTCGGATGGACAGAACATAGAGTTCTATCAACTTTAGAAGATATATTTAATTTTTTAACTCTCAAATTTGTGTAATTTTAACTTAAGTGATGGTACATGAAATAACTTTTTATATCATGCAATAATATAATGTTCTTCAAAAGGTTGGGTACAACTCTTTACTATGTTCGGAGACTTCAGAAAACTATGTTAACTGTGTTGGGCCTACCTGGCTAGTTTTAAACAAATAACAAATTATTATTTTTTAGCGTGTGAATAAATTTTAGGTTGTTCCAAATCAAATGGAAGAGGTAACCCAGTGACAACACTTCTTCATCTTGTACGTGAGGGGTGAAAGACCTAAAAAGGTAAAAATGGTGCGGGTTGGCTATTTATCAATCCTGTAATTGAAAAATAACTAATATTTGTAAAATCGTTGTAAATAGTCATCTTTAATGTGAATATAAAAAAAATTTAGATAAAAATACCCTTAGTTAAAATACAAAAAAAATTTAGCATAATATATTGGAGTTCAAAACTTTTACAAGCGAAACTCCAACATAATATGTTAGTATTAAAAATAGGTGAAAATCATTTACGCTCTCAAACTTTGCGTTAAAAGTGAAACTCATCCCTCAACTTTGAACAATAGTCAGTCTCCCTACTTTATCCTACACAATATTTTTTTTGCCCTTGAATTTTCAATTTCCACCTCTATATAATACTTTTTTATTATACGATATATATTTTTTTTTTTTATGATTTTAGCTATAATTTAAATTATGTAATACCTATTATAAATTATAATGTAAGTTTATTAAAATTATAAGTAGAATAATCATTTTATAAATATTATAAATTCACCGTCATCTTTATGATTGCTATTTTAATGTAATGCATATTATTTAAGTTATCTTTTTTAGTGGCGGAGCCAGAATTTCATATAAGAGGATTGATTGAAAACACCCCCAAGAAAATTTATTTAGGATTTGAAGTTGTGAGCGAAGATAACTTTTAAATTTTTATACCACTTTAACATCATATTCTTATGTCAAAGGAATTCAAAATTTTATATATAACTAAAAAGTTTGTTTTTGTCCTATTTGTGCAGTCTAATTTTCTGGCCGGGGATTCAATTGAATTCTCTTACCTCCTTTGCCCCTTAACTTTCTCTCTTATTCTCTATTATTAATATAGATTTTTAGATTTTGATTACCATTAATGAACTAATTTTTAAATTTATATTATAAAATTTATTTATAATAAAGTATAACATAATTTAAATTAAAGATAAAACTATAAAAATATCATAGAATAAAAAAGTATATTATATAGAGGAGTTAATTAAAAATTCAAGGGCAAAAAAGATATTGTGCAGGATAAAAGAGGGGAAATGACTATTGTTCAAAGTTGAGGGGAGTTTGATTTTTAAAGCACAATTAGGAGGTATGTAAATGATTTTCACCCTACTAAAAATTCTATACCTGTAAAAGTGCAGCATAACATACTAAAATTTAGAAGTTTACAAGTGAATGTTCTAGTGTATTGTATTGGAGTTCTAGAAAATCTTAAAATGAAATGTAGCCTTTCGCTGATAATAATCCTTAGCTTTATATCTAAAAGCAATTTCAGCATTTTAAAAATGATTTAACGTAAAGGAATTCGAACACATGAATTTTTAGCTAAAGAAATATGATATTGGAGGGATTTACACTATTTTGAACTCCAGCTTAAACCATCTGCATTGTTGTTCAGCTCCAGGCATTCTATTTAAAAAACTTTCATGACATCTAAATATTACTATCGGATTTTATCATTTTCATGATTAGCACAACGTTTTTTTAAAGATATGTAACATCCATAACCCTAGGATTTCAAATTCACGAATTTTGAATTGATAATTCGTGTTTCATTGAATTTTAATTACAAAATTAGAATATGTTCTTTTGTAGTATTAGACAAAGTTTTGATTTATTTATGATAAACTTGTAGATTCATGGCTACTGATCCACCAAAAAATTAAAAAAATACCGCGATAAACTTACAGATATACGATATTCCTCTCACTTCATCAATCCCTCCTCATTCTTTGTTCAACTATATAGGGCATTGTCACGGAGCTTTTAAGTAGTAAAAGTTAAACTCCATGATAATATTTTAGAGTTTTCACTTGTACATTTTTTGTTTTTGAGACAGTATCCTAGAGTTTCAACTTGATAATATTATGAAGTTCAAACAAAAAGGATGAAAAAGTGGATTTTTTAAGTTGAGGTTATTTTTGTTCAAAGTTTATGTTTGCATTAATTAAAAATGACTATTGTTTAAATTACACTTTCAACTATGGATCTGTTATGAATATATATTATATTATGAATGTTCATTTAGTACTCCGTTAGAAAGAAACTTCCTGAAGAAACTTATCTATATGGGACTCTGCCGTAAATATGTTTATCTATTTAGTACTTTATTGGAAATAAGCCTCCTCAAGAATCTTATCTTTTTCATATTCCGTTATGGATAAATATTACCACCGGTAGAAGATTATCTATATCTGGTACAATAGCATCTTACAAACAGCTTACACAATAACTTGCAGTAGCAGTTTACACAACACCTTCCTTTCTTCTATAAATAGAGGAGTTTTTAGTTCATTATATACATAAGTTTGAAGTTTGAATAATATATCAGTTTCTCTCTATACTTGTCTTTACTTTACAGTCTTTATTTTATAACATATTATCAGCACGAGACTCTGCCATCTCAAGCAAATACTTTGAAAGTATCAGAGGTACAGACTTTCTTTTTCTAAATAATGTCAAATCTTTCTAAACTTGAATTTGCAGCCCTAGATATATCGGGCAACAGCTACATGTCTTGGGTGCTTGATGCTGAAATTCATCTTGATTCGATGGGTCTGACAGATACCATCATGGACAAAAATCAAGCAGCAAACCAAGACCGTGCCAAAGCAATGATATTCTTATGCCATCACCTTGATGAGGGCCTGAAAATAGAATATCTCACTGTTAAAGATCCAGTCATACTATGGAATAATTTAAAAGATAGATATGGCCACCTGAAGATGGTCGTTCTTCCACATGCACGATATGATTAGACTCGTTTAAGGCTATAAGAATTTAAATCTATCAGTGAGTATAATTCTGCTATATTCAAAATTATTTCCCAATTAAAATTATGTGGTGATAATATTACTGATCATGATATGTTGGAGAAAACTTTCACCATTTTTCATGCCTCAGATATGCTTCTGCAACAGCAATATCGAGAGATAGGATTCAAAAAGTATTCTGAACTTATCTCACATCTTCTTGTAACCGAGCAATATAATGGGCTAGTAATGAAAAATCATAAAAGTCGACCAACTGGTTCTTGTCCATTCCCTGAAGTGAATGAGATGAACTTCCACAAAGCTAAGCGTGGAAGATGTCGTGGCCCCAGTCATGGCCGTGGTCGGGGAAGAAACTCTAATCATGTTAATGATAATGCACCAAAGAACTCTCCTCACCACCGGCAGTGGAAAAGGAAGAAACAAAAGCATGAAGCGGTGCAAACAACAAATGCAAAAAATACATGCTATAGATGTGGAGGAAAATGGTACTGGTCAGGTACATGTCATACGCCAAAGCACCTGGTTGAGCTTTATCAAGCCTCCTTAAAGAAGACAGAGAAAAATACTAAAGCAAATTTTATTTCTGAAGATAGTTTAGACTCCATGTATTTGGATGTAGCTGATTACTTTGCACTCCCAGAAGGAGAAACAAGTCATGTGATCGGTGGTGAATCTGTAGAAATGTAAATATTTTAATTTTGGTTGTTTATAATAGATAGTATGGTTATGTAATTGTTATACATAAATAAAAGTTATGCTTTGATAATGATGTTTACTGTAATATATTTTATTTATGTCAGTTTGAAAAATATGGATAATCCTCAATTATGTTTGGATCAAAGACCAATAATGAAGGTATTTGTGTAATTGATAGTGGAACAACTCATGCCATATTCAAGGATCATAGATACTTTTCTTATTTGCATAAGGAAAAAATAAATATTTCAACAATTTCTGGTAATATAAGTTTGATTGAAGGCTCCGAAAGAGCCACTATATTTATGCCTAAGGGAATAAAACTTATAATAGGCAATGCATTATTCTCCTCCGAGTCCCGGAGAAACTTGTTGAGTTTTATAGATATCCGCCGAAATGAGTATCATATTGAGATGATAGATGAAATGAATATGGAACATCTTTGTATTACAAAGAATATTTATGGCTAGAAGTGCATTGTAGAAAAGTTACTAACTCTATCTTCTGGATTATACTATTCAAAGATAGTACAGTTGAAGCACACTCTATCGTAAACCAGAAGTTTACTGATTCAAATATTTTTGTGCTTTGGCATGGCTGTTTGGGCCATCTTGGATTAATAATGATGAGATAAATTACTGAAAATTCGAGTGGGCATCCATTAAAGAACCTGAAGATTCCTATAAATAATGAATTTTCTTGTGATGCTCGTTATCAAGGCAAAATGATCACTAGACCATCACCAATAAAGGTTGGCATTGAATCCCCTGCCTTTTTAGAACATATATATAGGGATATATGTGGACCTATTCACCCACCAAGTGGATTGTTTAGATATGTTATGGTCCTAATAGATGCATCTTCAAGAGGTCTCATGTGTGCCTACTATCATCTCGCAACCTGGCGTTTGTAAAGCTATTATCCCAAGTAATTCGATTAAGGGTACAATTCATAGATTGTCCTATAAAGGCTATTCGCCTTGATAGTGCTGGAGAATTCCCATCTCAAGCTTTTGATGATTATTGTCTATCAATTGGGATAAAAGTTGAACATCCTGTAGCTTATGTTCATACTCAAAATGGTCTTGCATAGTCATTTATTAAATGCCTGCAATTGATAACAAGACTACTACTTATGAAAATAAAATTGTCCACTACTGTTTGGGGCCATGCTATCTTGCATGCAACATCACTTATCCGTCTCAGACCGATACATTATAATAAATATTCTCCGTCACAATTAGTTTTTGATTATGAACCAGATATTGCCCATCTACAAATTTTTAGATGTGTTGTATATGTGTTAGTAGTACCACCACAACGCAGTAAGATGGGCACATAAAGAAGGTTAGGAATATATGTTGGGTTTGAATCACCCTCTATTATTCGCTATCTTGAACCATTGACGGGAGATTTATTTACTGCTTGATTTGCAGATTGTCAGTTTGATGAAACAAATTTCCCACAATTAGAGGGAGAGAAAAAGAAAATCAAAAGAGAAATTGTATGAAAAATTTTATAGTTATCTCATTTTGATCCACGTACCCTTTTATGTAAATAGATGATCTCCAGATTGTCGGTTTGATGAAATAAATTTCCCACAATTAGGGGGAGAAAAAGGAAATCAAAAGAGAAATCATGTGAAAAGTTTCATCGTTATCTCATTTTGATCCACGTATCCCTATATGTAATCAGGAGGTCCAGAAGATCATCCATTTACAAAATATAGCAAATCAAATGCCTGACACGTTTACTGATTTGAATAGGATAACTAAGTCACATATCCTTGTAGAGAATGTGTCTATTCGAATTGATGTCCCAACAGGACCATCTACTAGCATGAGAGCTAGTGAACCTAAAGCACGCTTGAAGCACGGTAGGCCTTTGGGTTCTAAGGATCGAAATCCTCGAAAAAGAAAATCGACCAATGATAACGATACTATGAAGGGATGTCTTGAAAAGACCCAAGATCTGATTAGTTCTGAGATTCCTGAAGAAATCAATGAACCCGAGACTCAAGTGAGTAAGAAGCTTTTAATAAGTTCTACTGGTGAAAGGATTAATTTAAATAGATCTGAAATAGTGATGGATAATATTTTTGCATATAATATTGTACTTAACATTATGAAAGACAGTGAGGATCTTGAACCCTGATCTGTCGAAGAATGTCAACAAAGATATGATTGGCCAAAATAGCAAGAGGCAATTCAATCAGAATTGAACGCACTTGCTAAACGAGAGGTCTTTGGACCAGTAGTCTAAACACCTGCTGGTATAAAACCAGTTGGCCATAAATGGGTTTTTATGCGAAAAGGGAATGATAAAAATGAAATTGAAAGATACAAAGCTCGTCTTGTCGCACAAGGATTCTCACAACGACCTGGAGTCGATTTTGATGAAACATATTAACCTGTTATGGATGCCATAACATTTCGATATCTCATCAGTTTAGCACTACATGAAAAACTTGAAATATATCTAATGGATGTAATTACAACTTATCTGTACGGTTCACTTGATAATGAAATTTATATGAAAATTCTTGAAGAATTTAAAATACATGAAGCAAATTCAAAATCTCGAAAAATATATTCAATCAGATTATAAAGATTTTTATACGGTTTAAAGCAATCCGGGCATATGTGGTATAATCGCCTTAGTGAATATTTGCTGAAAGAGGGTTACATAAATTATGTTATTTGTCAGTACATTTTTATAAAGAAAATAGCATCAGAATTTGTTATACTTGCTGTTTATGTTGATGGCATAAATCTTGTTGGAACTCCAGAAGAGCTCTAAAAGACAATTGTATATCTTAAGAAAGAATTTGAGATGAAAGATCTTGGAAAGACAAATTTTTTTCTTGGTCTGCAAATTGAACATTTAGGAGACGTGATCTTTATCCATCAATCTGCCTATACGGAAAGGGTCTTAAAATACTTTTACATGGACAAAGCACACCCATTGAGTAGACCAATGATTGTTCGATCACTTGAAGTGAATAAGGATTTGTTCCGACCTCTAGAAGAAGATGAGGAACTCCTTGGTCTCGAAGTACCATATCTCAGTGCAATTGGTGTACTAATGTATCTTGCTAATGTTACGAGGCCTGACATAGCATTTTCTGTTAATTTACTAGCAAGATATAGTTCTTCTCCTACACGGAGACATTGGAACGGGATTAAGCATATATTGCGATATTTAAAGGGATCACTCGATATGAGTTTATTTTATTCTAACAAAGGTAGTGCAGATCTTGTTGGTTATGCAGATACATGTTATTTATCTGATCCACATAAAGCTTGATCTCAAACCGGGTACGTGTTTACATGTGGATGTACTGTTATATCATGACGCTTCACAAAATAATCTATTGTTGCTACTTCTTCAAATTATGCTGAGATAATAGCTATGCAAGATGCAAGTAGGGAATGCGTATGGCTGAGATAAGTAATTCCTTTTATTCAAGAAAAAAATATGGTTTGGAATGTGATAAAAGATCCACAATTTTATATGAAGACAATGGTGCATGCATAGCCCAATTAAAGGGAGGATTTACAAAAGGAGATAGAACGAAGCACATTTCACCAAAATTATTTTATACACATGATCTTCAGAAAAATGGTGATATTGATGTGCAACAAATCCGTTCAAGTGACAATCTGACAGATTTATTCACTAAATTTTGCCAACTTCAACTTTTGAGAAGATGGTATACAAGATTGGAATGCAGCGACTCAAATATTTAAAACAAGATTTTTATTAGGGGGAGTAAAATATGCGCTATACTTTTTTTCCTTACTAAGTTTTTTTCCACAGGGTTTTTCTTATAAGGTTTTAAATGAGACAACTAGTTATGCGTATTACTACATATGCGTACTCTTTTTCCTTCACTATAATATTTTTCCCACGAGTTTTTTTCTAGTAAGGTTTTAATGAGGCATATTATCTTTTAATGAACATCCAAGAGGGAGTGTTATGGATATATTATATTATGGATGTATATTATAGATGTTCATTTAGTACTCCGTTAGAAAGAAGCTTCCTGAAGAAGCTTATTCATATGAGACTCCGCCGTAAATATGTTTATCTATTTAGTACTTTATTGAAAATAAGTCTCCTGAAGAAGGTTATTCTTTCGGTACTCCGTTATGGATAAATATTACCACCGATAGAAGATTATCTATATCTGATACAATAGCAGCTTAAAGAGTAGCTTGCAGTAGCAACTTACACACTTACAGGCAGCTTACACAGCAACTTGCAATAGCAGCTTACAAGCAGCTTATACAACAGTTTGGAGTAGCAGCTTACAAGTAACTTACACAACAGCTTGCAGTAGCAGCTTACACAAGAACTTGCATTAACAACTTACGCATCAACTTTCTTTCTTTTATAAATAGAGTATTTTCCAGTTCATTATGTACATAAATTTGAATTTTGAATAATATATCAGTTTTTCTTTATACTTGTGTTTACTTTACTGTATTTATTTTATAACGAGATCCAAATTTTCTTCCTTGAAAAAGAGAATAAATAAGAAATAGGGTGTGAGGGGGAAAAAACTTGTGAAAATCTCTCTACCAATAGGAGTGCTAGTGTGCTACTGCAACTGTCGCATAGTGCGGCTGCTACTGCTATTATGCCACGGCGCTTTGCCATGGAAAATAACAAATCCTACCCACTCATTCACTTATTTTTTTGCGTTAAGAGGTACCAAATTAACTCATTGCTTGTAATAATCTAGAAGAATCCTTAGAAGTATTTCATTTCACGATTTTTTCTACATTTGTACAAATCATCATTATTCCTCTCCTTACCTACAGTACTCATCAAAACCACATTGCCAAAGCTGCTCTGCTCTCTTTCTCAAAAACCCAATTATCACAAATTCACAAGCGGTAAAGTTTCCTGCATTTCAATTGAAAAAAATGTAAATTTTCGTTCCGGGTTTTGTTTTGTTTAGCTGTTAAAGTAAACCTGATTTAGCTAGCCATACTGCATTGTAGTTCTGATTTTCAAATTTCGATCAAAGCCACCACCTTTATCGATTTTCCTTTGATGGGTGCCTAAATAGTTTCATATCTGCATTTTTTTTTGTTTATTTTCTGATTATTTCTTAGCATAGTTCTTGCCTAAATTTCTTTTTTCTTTTTTATTTTTATTTTTATTTTTATTTTTTATTTACTACTATGGTGTCCGGACCACACTATTCTACCTCCCACAAGCACAAGTATTGGATAACATTTCATTTATTGTATTGTGATTGTGATTATCCATGTTAATCATCAGTCTCAAGTTCCTTCTCTTTTTGTTTTATTTTTAATCTATTTACTGTTATGCATGTTGACAAGAGCGAGTTGCTCTAAGCAAGGTGGGGAATTCTTGGAGGGTGGGAGCCGAGGGTGTCTCGAAAACAACCTCTCTACCCCAGGGTAGGGGTAAGGTCTGCGTACACACTAACCTCCCCAGACCCCACTAGTTGGATTATACTAGGTTGTTGCTGTATATTGTTCTGCATGTAATATTGCTAATTCTCTTGCAATAGAGAAAATAAGATCTCCATATCTGCATTCTGGTTTCTTAATTCTATGAGCTAAAGTAGTTTTTGGAACAGTGATGACGAAGAGGAAGAAAAATAAGAGCTTGAGGAAGGAAGAAATAGCGGAAGACTGGTGTTTTGTTTGCAAAGATGGTGGCCAACTGCTAATATGTGATTATGGGTAAATCTTTTATTCCAACAATCTTGTAATTTGTAGTCAGTTGTTTAATTTACCGGGAATGTTATTGTGTCTCATTACTTAATATTGTTAGTGAATCCTATACTGTCTCTTTTAAAAAGATGAAGGATTTACACTCTGTTTGTGTTCACTTTACACTTTAGGGAGGTCTGAATTTGAATGGTTTAGACCTTAGACCATTAAGTACATTTCTTTTTTTGTTTAACCATTTAATGAGTCTAGGCTTTTTAAGCGAAACAGCTTTTGCTATCTTCTAATTTCTAAATTTAATCACATAAGATGTTAAAATATTTTTTCATGCAAAAAATTGTCACAATCTAAGCTATGGACCATAACAGACACCGAGTGTGCTTGCCCACTTAGTGAACCAACTGTTAGCAACAATCTCGTCATTCATCAACTCATATAAATACTCAAAGTTGCTTAATCAATATCAAATGATGTATTCATCACAAATAGAGCTTAACAAATTCACAACCTTAACTACACGTTGTCCATAACCAACCTAAATAAATAACTTTGACAGGAGAGAGTTCATGTAGTGTGTGTAGATTCATAACAAACACGACCTACTAAACAAGTAAAAGTAGGAATAGAGTCAACAAGCTCCCACGGGAAGGTAAGTGGGTTTAACCAAGAATGCTAGCTTGACTGCAATACAAAGGTGCAACCACAAATATGTTTTTTGGATATATATANTACTATTTTTAAGATGTGAAAAAAGAGACTCAATCCCCTCAAAAGCTCTCCTATTTCTCTCCCCCCAAACTATCCACATGAGAGCTAACGGAGCGAACTTCCACGCCTTTTGCTTGCTTCTTCTACGGAAACCGGCCCAACTATATAATATTTCCTTTACAGTGCTTGGCATCACCCATTGAATACCAAAAAGATTCAGGATTGCCCTCCACAAACCCGAGGATACAGGGCAATGCAACAAAAGATGATCAACTTCTTCCCCTGAGCTTTTACACATGTAGCACCAACTAACAAGTGTAATTCTTTTTTTTTTCGCAGATTTTCAACAGTCAAGATCACTCCCCTCGCCGCTAACCATGCAAAAAAATACACTTTCGTGGGCGCCTTAGGAATCCAGATCGAGGAGTATGGAAAAGTAACCTCCTCTCTCACCAACATACTCTGGTAAAAGGACTTTACGGTGAACAAACGATCGCCACGCAACCCCATCTCCAAGAATCACAAGATGGCTGGGACCTGTCTTGCATATATAGCAGTGCCGACAAATCTTGGAGCTCCACAATCTCCCAATCTTGCATGTTCCTTCTAAATGAGAGGTCCCATACTACCCCCTTCATGCTCCTTGCGAATCTGTTGGACCATCAATTCCTTCTGGTTTGAAACTCTGAAGACGTGGGGGAAAGAGACCCTCAGAGTATCCTCTCCACACCACCTGTGATTCCAAAAGCTGATTCTCCTTCCATCTCCTACCCTGTAAGTGATGTTGCCATTGAAGGCTTCCAATTCTTCATGATGCTCCTCCACATGCCACACCCAAAAGGTGCTGTGATTGCTTTGGTCCTCCAACCCCCTCCCGTGGAATCGTACTTTTCTACTATGACCGCCTTCCATAGAGCATGCTCTTCTACCCTGAATCTCCACAGCCATTTCCCCAACAAAGCTTTGTTGAATACCCTAAGATCTTTTACTACAAGTCCATCCCACTTCTTTGGGGAAGTGATTGTCTGCCAATTCACTAGATGAAACTTTCTAGTTCCATCCGTCGCATCCCAAAGAAAATTCCTTTGAAGCCGCTCCAGTTTATCTGTGATGCTTACAGGAGCTTGCAACAGGGACAAGTAATAGGTAGGCATACTCGATAAAGTGCTTTAATAAGCGCTAGCCTTTTGACAAGTACCGTTTCTACCAGCCCGCTAATCTTTTTTCAACCCTTTCAATCACTGGATTCCAAACCGTAGTATCCTTATGCGAAACGCCCAATGGGAGACCCAGGTAAGTAGTGGGAAGAGAGCCCACCTTCATCTGAGAACATGAGACAAAGCATCAATGTTGGCAACCTCACCCACCGGGAAAATCTCACACTTGCCGAGGTTCCTTTTGAGTCCTGATACTATCTGAAACCACTGCAGGACCTACTTCAGGTAGGTCAATTGATCCATATCGACATCACAGAAAACTAGGGTGTCATCCGCAAAAAGCAAATGAGAGACTCTTCGGGCACTGAGCACCCCGATCGGAGCTGAGAATCTTCTCAAAAAGCCTCCGCCCGCCGCACGATCCATCATTTTACTCAGAGTATCCATCACTAGAATGAATAACATAGGGGATAGGGGGTCACCTTGCCTGAGACCCCTGGAGCTGCCAAAGAAACCACACGGGCTACCATTAACCAGGTCAGAGAATTTGAGGAAATGCAGAACTTGATCCATCCCCTCCATCTTACCCCAAACCCCATCCGCATCATAATGAAATCCAGAAACTCCCAATTGACATGGTCGAAAGCCTTCTCAAGGTCCAACTTGCACAGTAAGTCAGGTTCTCTATTTTTTCTTCTGGAGTCTACAAGTTCATTTGCCACCAAAGCAGCGTCCAGGATCTGCCTACCTCCACAAATGCATTCTGGGAGGACGAAACAGATACGTCAAGAACCTTCTTGAGTCTGTTGGAGAGCACTTTAGAAATAATCTTGTAAATGCTCCCCACGAGACTAATAGGCCTGTAGTCTTTGATAAAAGATGCACCTTATTTCTTAGGCACAATAGTAATAAAAGAAGCATTGATACTTCTCTCGAAAACACCATTCACGTGGAAGTATTCAATGGCTTCCATCATCTCTCCCTTAATGGTGTCCCAACAGAGCTGGAAGAAGGCCAAGGAGAAACCATTAGGCCCAGGGGCCTTATCACCAGCACAACTCGCCACAGCCTCGTGCACCTCCTCCTCCTCGAAAGCCCTTTACTCACTGTCTCCCTCCCCTATGTGGTTGAACTTTATTCCCCCAAAGTAGGCCTCCAACTAACTTCCTCTTTGTATAAGTTCTTATAAAACCCCACTATCGCCCCTTTTACCTCCTTCTCTCCCTCAATCCTCACCCCATCCACAACTAAGGACTCTATGAAGTTACTCCTTCGATTAGCGACTGCAACCCTGTGGAAAAACTTGATATTCGAATCTCCCTCCTTTAACCAGAGCGCCCTCGATTTTTGCCGCCAACTAGTCTCATGAGCTATTGCTGATTCGACTATTTCCCTCTTAACCTCCCCCAATCTCGCTTTCTCAGATTCATCTAGCTCCCTCGCCCCTTCCCCTCTCTCTAATTCCCCCAATTCATGCATAAGCTCCCTCATTTTAATATCTACCCTCCTAAAAACCTCCTTATTCCACCTAATAATATCTCGCTTGAGCAATTTAAGTTTCTTCGAAAGACGGAATGAAGGTGACCCTGATACCCCGTAGCTTGTCCACCATTCTTTCACTTTGTCACCGAATCCTGGCACTTTCAACCACATGTTCTCGAATCGGAAAGGAGCACGCACCCACTCCCTCTGCATCCATCTAGCAAGATAGGCAAATGATCCGCTAGGTAAAGGAATCTGCAGCACATTCGGCACCAGCTCATCCCAAGAGGGCGATATCAGAAATCTATCAAGTTTAGACCTTGAATTGGAATCCTCCGCCCTGGCCCAAGTAAACCTTTCCCCTGACAGAGGACGATCAACGAGAAAGTGATCATTGATGAAGCCAAAAAAATCCTCCATAGCCCTCGAAATAAGACTACACCCTAATCTCTCCTCCGGGAATCTAATAGTGTTAAAGTCTCCCCCTAGAACCCATGTGTGGAGGCCCAGGCCTATACTTGCTGAAAACTTGCCCGGCCCTATGATAATTAAAAGAGGACCGACCCATTCTGCCTTTCTAGCTCGCATCACTAACCTAGGGGCATTCACTTCTTTTCCTCCTGATAAAATTGTCTTCTTCTCCCAAATTCAAACCCCCCGTCTCTTTTCGATCTAATGTCTGATTCCGGCTTAGTCCACTGATCTGGTGAGCCCTCCCCTCACTTTAGAGACTGATTTCCCCTCCCATCCCTTCTATTTGACCTTCCCTTTTCTCCCGCCACTACCACATCCACAGGCATAAAGATAGGGCGAAATTCAGGGCTCAACCAAACCCTATAATTCAAGTAGCCATCCTCCACCACAGTAGAGACAAGGATTCTGCCCCTTTCTTCATCACAATCCTCACTCGCGAGAGACCGTGTAGGCTGGAAGTGACATCAATAAAACTCCCACAGATTTCCCCAATCTTCTTGAATAGGTCAAGACACCAAAGATGCACCGGGAGACCCACCATGTTGACCACCAACGTTTCGCCGGAGAAACGAGGGTCGAGACACCCATCGTGCTCCACCCATCTGTCTAGCTGTAAGAAGTTCCCATCGAACCACCTATTTCCTCTGACAAGAATTTCTGAAGTTTGAGACTCGTCGACAAATTGAAAGAGATATTGCGTGTCCCCCAGTTGCGATATTTTCAACCCGTCCTTGACGTTCCATACCTCTGCTGCCCAGTTCCTAACAGCCTCTGGAGAACCAACCCATTTGGAAAAAGACCCAATCAGACAAGATTCCAAGAAACCCTTGCGCCTGAGAGTGTGCTCTCAGACAACGAGAAGTGCGGCTCCTGCCCTACGTCGAGCTTTCGATGGCATCTTCCCCCAAGTTCTAGGGCAGGCCAAGAGGCAGCTTTGATGAAAGACATGTTTTCCAGTTTTTTAGATTCTAGAGAGAAGTAAGAGCTTCTCTCAGTAGAATCCATCATATCTAAATTCGGCTGTCCCAAAAGCCTCGCGAAGAGGCTGACTGAAGAAGAAGAAGTGAGATATGGTCGGAAAAAGCCTTACCCGTCGCCGGAAAATAGTTTTAGACGTCGGATTTTGGAGATTCTTGGATGGGTAGGCTCGGAACAGCCTCGCAATGAGACTGTCTGAAGAAGAAACAGTGA